CATTCATTTACTGAAGCTCGGTCTTCTAAAGTAGTGAGTGGCCCCGGTACTTGTACAAAGAAAATAATTAGTACACAATAAAATCACAAATCACCTCATATGGAGAATAAGCTTATTTCAACAGATGAAAACATAATTCGTGTGTCTTATCAACCCCGGTATAGAATCTATCTATCTATCTATCTATCTATATATATATATATATATATATATATATATATATATATATATATATATATATTTTTAAAAGAAAAAACAGACCCTTTAAGGTACCATTATAATAATTGATTTCCGGCGTCCTTTTAAAACGCCGGATCATGAAATAAATTATTATAATGCGTCCTTAAATAATGGTCTGTTTTTCTTTTAAATATTGGCTCTGGATTTACATTGAGCTCTCAGGATTTCATCCTCCTTGTGATTACCCATACGGATTACCAAGACCTTCATAACTTATATATATATATATATATATATATATATATATATATATATATATATATATATATATATTAAATAATAGGAAAGTTCAATCAGGTTTATAAAGATTTTTTAAAGTTCTTAGCATTTATATTTTTAAAGTTCTTAGCATAAATTTTAAGAAATCCTCCATACAACAGTAGAACATAATATTATGATTGTTTATTTTTAATATATTAAAATCGCAACCCTTAAATTCCCATGTTTCAAAACTGAAACTTCCATTCCAATCCAATTATAAAATTAAACTTAAAATACAAAGCCCCGCTCCATTATCAAGCGATGCTAAGAATATCATATTGGAAATAGATTCATTTAATTTATACGTCCAGAGAACTTTGATATTTTGAGATGTTGGGGTTAAGGAAAATCTCATCTTTTTTTATTTTAGGGGTGTTAAGATTTAACTTCTTTAGAAAAAAACATGTACTTAATGTATTGTAGCTAATCAAGTCGGTCAAGTCAAGATGGGGTCTAGAGTAATTGTCTATTGATACAAACTTTCTTTTTTCAAGTAGAAATTTGTGGCAGTGTCGATGTTCTAACATACTGTATGGGTTTCAATAGCAATATATTTGGCTTTTTTAGTTTTTAATTTTATTTAATTTTTATTTTTATATAAATTTCATTTACGATTTTTTTAAAAGAGTCATTCAAATATTATTTAGTCACATTTTTAATATTTATATTTTTATTCATACCGACTTAAGGTATTATATTTAATTTATTTACTGAGTACATATCAGGTAATGTTAAAATTAATAGATTAGAATCTAATTATGTATTTATAAACTATTTTATTTATGATCAAATATAAATATGTTAGTTTCATTTTTATAAAATTAGCAGTTACTTCAGGAAAAGATTTGGCAATGTCTACGAATAACCATTACTTCATTTCTTTGAATTAATAAATTTTTATTTTTCAGATACTTACTACTTCTCGTTTTCACTCTCGCGTGGTCATTTGTGACGTCACGCAATTTTCGCTTCCGCGTCTCGTATACACGAGTTTGTCGTTGCTTTGAAATTTTTCATCCAACAGAAACAGACTATCATTATTGTTTCGTCCGTGTATTGTTTGATATATTGAAATGTAATTGTCATCTTTGATAATGGTTTATATAAGCCGAAAGCTTAGATAGGATTTAAACATGTATCAATATGGTGATTTTATTTCGTCTTTCAATGATAATATTATTAAGCTTATCAGACAATATGAAAGGAACTTACTTAAAATAAATAGACAAAATTTGTCTATATTATTTAATGAAACATGCATCAATGAAAAATTGCTGCCTAAATATATATATATAATATATATGTTGTATATATGTTAGTTTATATATATATATATATATATATATATATATATATATATAAACGATAATCTGTTTGTTTCAGTGACTATCAAAGATTGTATTGCGTATATTTATTATAAAAAATATATATACAGTAAAAAGTTTTAAAGCAATTTAAACAGGAGCGGCCATTTTGAAAAAAAATTATTTTCGCCACAACTCTTTCTAAAACAGACAAGCCTTCTCCTTTTTCAGTCACGCACGCGTTTCATTCCACAATAATATGCGACGACATCCTCAGGGCTTTGCTTTGTAACATTTGTCAACGCCTTCTTTGTTAAGCAGACAAAACGACGTCGATTTGAAATCCGCCCGAGTTTGACTTATCCACCGACTTAAGCAGGACAAAAACAGATGAAATCGACCGGAAAGAACCTGTAAATGTTAATTACTCTCTTCAACGTTATACTGAATAGACACACGCTTTGTTAATGGCGCTAACGATTTCACACACGCACATGCATAGATGCCGGGTGTAACATCAACATTATCCAAATCTTGTAAAAGCAGAATTATCCATTTGTTAAATTAAGTTCTGAACCGTTGTATCTTAGAATTGATTAAAGATATCTTACTGGAATTCTCCGGGATTTTATTATACTACTGGACTCTACTTTGATCAATAAGAACAGAAGAATCTTGATGAAATCAATCATAAACGATCATGATATGTTCAGCATTAATTAATCATAGCTGAGGATCGGAAGCTCATGAAAGATAGATATAAATTTCATATATATATATATTAAATAAAAACAGACCACTTTAAGGTTCCATGTAATAAATTATATCCCCACAGCCCTTTTCAAGGACAGCGGATCATCTGACTTTACTTCCAAACAAAAAATGAAAAGAAAATTTACACATTTGTCAATATCTGCTAACTCACTCATATCTTCTCTCTCCCCCCTCACTTCCTCACTTAATTTACATACGGCCCGTCAAAAATGTGTAAATTTTCTTTTCATTTTTTGTTTGGAAGTATAGTCTGATGATCCGCAGTCCTTTTAAAAGAGTTGTGATGAAATAATTTATTACATGGAACCTTAAAGTGGTCTGTTTTTATTCTAATTATTTGCTCTGGATTTACATTGAGCTCTCTGGATTTTATACTCCTTAGGTTTACCCGTACGGATTACCCAGTTTTTCCTAAACTATATATATATATATATATATATATATATATATATATATATATATATATATATATGTTCTAGGATCATTTTCAAACTTATTCAACATGATTTTCATCCCTCAATAACCTTCTAAAATTCTGAACGATTTCACGTACGATTTCATTTTCAAGTTTTTTTTTCACTGCTCTTTCGATTGTCATAGATGAAACTCTTCTTTCCCGCGCCAAACGCAACAATTTTTTTTTCTATATCGAGCAAAATTTTCCAAAACCTTTAAAAGCAAAATTGTCCATTTGTTAGATTAAACTTTGAACCATTGTATCTGAGAAATGATTAAACAAATCTTATTGAGGTTTTTCTATCACTATTGGATTCTACTTTAAACAATAAGAATGTATAAATTACTCTCCAATCTTAACAGAAGAATCGTTGATGATCATAAACGAAAATGACATTAATTAATCATAGTCAAGGATCGGAAGCTCATGAAGGATTGAAGTAAAGTACAACTATATATATATATATATATATATATATATATATATATATATATATATTATTATTATTATTATTATTTCAGGAACATTTTACATTCTACTCAAGATGATCTTCGCCCTGCCTAACTTTCTAACTTTCTGTCCTGGAGTGAAAAGGTGCCTCACAGTTTGCAAGTTTATTTTCAAGTCTTTTTTTTTTTTACTACTTTTTGGGCTGTCATAGCTAAAACTGTTCTTTCACGTGGAAAACGTCTTATAGATTGAGTTGAATGTTTTATAATTAATTTCTTTCTCTCTAAGTTGAAATGATGATCCCTCTTCCTGTTGTGGATTCCTGATCCAGTTTTCCTCTCTACTGTTCCCTCTTTTTTAAAGTTAGTCACCGTTCCCTTGATTGACTGAATTTTGAAGATGGAAGCCAGAGTATGAATTTTGGTTCCATTACTGAGGCCTGAATGATCTTTATCCTCCCACCATTGCTCATTTAGAAAGACAATAGGGCTGACACAAAGCAATTTTAACCAGTTCTATTTCTAGCTAAATAACTCAAAATGTTGTTTCAGTGATTCTTACGACAAACGGTGTCAAGATGGCTAAATGTCTTATCTGAAAATCTGGAAAAAAAGAAACTTAATTATTTCAGTGATTCTTTAGGTAATAAATATTTTGTGGGATGGACAAGTATGCTGCTTTACGATTTGAACAGGTATACGTAAGAATCGTCTACGTCCAACAGAGCTTGTGTGAAACATTGCCACTCGTAGCGAGGCCTGAATGATCTTTTTCCTCTCACCATTGCTCACTTGGAAAGGCAGTGGGTTACACGATAGCTGTTACACAAGTTGAACAATTTGATGTTTTACCAGGTATACTTAAGAGTCGTCCACGTCAAACAGAGCTTGCGTGAAAAATTGCAACAGTAGGGAGGCTTGAATGATCTTTTTCCTCTCACCATTGCTCACAGTGAATCTGACAGGATTTCAAACTGAAGTAACTCAAAGGTTTTTCAGTGATTCTGACAAATGAATTAAAACTTATTTAAAATATTTTTCTGTTTATACGTTATTATTATAGATATAATTTATTATATATATATTTAATTTATAAAGAAATATTTTTTCATAATATATTGATTGTTTCTTACGTTTCGTGGACACAAATGAAGAAAAAGTCCTTATGTTTATAAACTGTAATTCGGACATTTAAAATATGTTTTTGTTTATACAGGTTCGATTATTATAGATCATAAATAGTGTTTTTAAAAAAAGCAACAAAAAAAAAAAATTATATATATATTTAAAATTTATAAACAAAAATATATGAATAAAGACAAGAGGAAAACTTATCTTATTGATTCGTCCAATATATATATAAAATTTTCAGATAATCCATTTCCTGTAATCATTTAAAACAGACGCTTGTCATTGGTTTCAAACGTGTCCTCCTAGTAGAATTAATGGTTTCATGGGTGAATAGCGAGGAGACGCAAATGATCGATCCGACTGCGTAGAAAAATGTGCTACTTA